CTAGGGTTCTTCGGATTCTATCCATTGCATCATCGAAGGATGGGATGCTTGGGAGATAAAATCCAGATTCCTTCTTCGTCGTGGAAGTCGTGGTTATGGATAAAATAGTTACAGGTATTGCCCCAAGTGAATCTTTTTTATCACTTTTGACATTTTCCTCTTGCTTGCTTTCATCCAGTCCTAGCATTTCTCGGATTGTATACATCGTAGAATCGAATGATGGAATAGTGGGAAGATGAAATAGAGACTCCTTTCCTCGTCGTAGAAGTAGTGGTTTCAACAAGAGTGGTTGCAATGGTTGCACCTGACGTATCGGATTTTTCACTTTGCAGATTTTCGTGTTTCTTCGGTTCGTCTAGTCCTAGCGCTCCTCGGATAGTATGCATCGTAGAGTCGAATGATGGGAGTTGTAGAAAGATGAAATAAAGTTTCTCTCTTCGTTGTAGACGTGGTCGTTTCATGGAAAATGGTTGCAGGTGTTGCACCCAACGAATCCGATTTTTTATCTTTGACTTTGTCGTTTTGTTCCGTTTCATGCAGTCGCAGTGTTCCTCGAATTATATCTATTGTAGAACCGAATGTTGGAACTGTTGGAAGATGAAATAGAGATTCCTTCTTCGCTGAAGTAGTGGTGCTTCCAGGTAAAATAGTTGCAGGCTTGGTACTGCATGAATCATTTTGTTCGCTTTTGACGTTTTCGTCTTGCTTCATTGCATTCAGTCGAAGTATTCCTCGGATTGTATGCATTGTAGAATCGAGCGATAGAATAGTGGGTAGATAAAATCAAGATTCCTTCTTCGCAGTTGGGTTGTACTTTGTGGTTGGATGGTTGTCGACTGTGCAGTCAAGGAATTCGAGTTTTCGCGTTTCAGAGTTTCCTCTTGGTTAATGTGATCAAGCCCTAGTGTTTCTCTAATACTGTTCATTGTCGTCTGGAGTAAAGGGAATGTTTGAAGATGAAATCTGCCTTCCTTCTTGGCTATAGAACTTATGCTTTCAGATAGAATGCTTATTGACTTCGTACTCAACGAATCTAGGTGCTTTAGCTTCGTATTATCGTCTAGATTTATTTCATCGACCCCTAGTCTTCTTAGAATTGTTTGCATTATTGAGTCGAAAGATAGGTTTGCTGGTAGTTGAAATGCTTCTTCTTTGGTCGGTATGGAAGTCGTTGTTTCTGGTTCAAAGGGTGCTGGCTTTGCATCTAGCAATGGATATTGCTGGCGTTCCATAAGCTTCTCTGACTTTGGTTTAGGTTGTGTTTATGTCTCTTTCTACGCTGGAGTCGTAGGCCAATGTAAAATTTCTCTGTGTAGTTTTAATCTAAATATAAAAGAACAAAGACAGTGGGTTTGAAGATCCAATTAGGAGAGTTGTCTTCTGGTGGGGAGGAGAGGAGTAGAGTAGTATATCATTTTCTACCACTATATGTCTGATTGTCTTTGAAGAGCGGCTCTGAAGACTTTAAGCTTTTCAGCTGTAGTATCGTGGGAACTCCACTTATTTGTTTCACACGAATCTGCCGATACAACATGTTTTGTGTTATAGAACTGTATGTGATATGATCAATCGATTCCGGCACAGGAGAGATCCTTCACGATGTAGTGAGTTACTGGTAGTGAAGTCATCGTTGCGAATGCGAAATAGAGTGAGGTGGGTGGTTTCCAGAAATATTTGTGTGTGTAATAGAATTGATTTCGCATTGAAGCGTATCGAAAACACATGTGCAGATAAAGATTACAACATGTCATATGTAAACATAGAAATCAAGAAGGGCCAAAGACTGCCGCGCAATAAAAAAGTGCTAATATAGGACAGAGAAAATATTATCATTCAAACGCTTCAAAGTCTGTAGGACAGCTGCATAGAAAAAGGGATACGTGTAAACATTGGAACATAATTTCAGTTAATAAGCTCCTAGTCTCGAATTCAAAAATCTAGAAAAAAAACACTATTTAGGCTATAGATAATTATATACGTATATATCTAAAGTCCACAAGTCTTGACCTAGACAACAGGAGGTTCGTAAGCTATAGAAGGTAACGAAATTATAAAAGACTCGGAGCGCTTTTTTTGAGGAAAAGAACGCATTATAATTGTAAGGCATAATAGATAATCAAGCACTAAAGCTATTCAAGACGAAATACCCACTGCGTGACGAAAAAAACAGATTGTACAGATTCAAAATTTCTTTATTCACAAAAACCACTTTCATTAGTTCGAAGATATTTTTCCTTCCATTATGTGTCAGCAAACACGTGGATTCTTTGAAATGTGGTAGACAACATCAGTTTCAAAATGCAAGTCGTACCATTATACTTAAAAATTAACTTTAAAACAAAACCTCCGTATGTTCATGATCAAATAGTGAGATTATTTATGGAAGAATTTTTTCTTTCTTCTTTGGCTTGCCAATTGATCCTCTCGATTTGAGGTGTTCTGGCCGTGAATTAAACTCTCCGGATTCATCGCGTGTCTTCAGGTCATCAGACTTCTTTTCTGCAAGCTTATGCGCATCCTTCTTGTATTCCACTGTGCTTTCAGAGGATGTGCCTTCCTGTGGTAGGAAACTTGCATTCTTTTCCGCTGAAACGGTAGCCGACTTTTCAACTATCAAACCCGGAGTCTGGCGTTGCATACTTTCGTCTCGTTGTGTCTCCATGAATCCTAGTTTTTTTTTGATACTATCCATCGTAATATCGAGCGAAAACATCCTTAATGGATGAAATATAGATTCTCTGTTCGCTGTAGAGGTAGTGGTTCCAGCTGCAATCGTTTCAGAGTTTGAACTTAACGAATCGAATTTTTCAAGTTTGACATTTTCACCACGCTTCGTCTCATCGAGATCTAACGTTTCTGGAATCGATTGCATTGTAGGATCGAACGATGAAAACGTGGACAGATGAAATTCTCCGTCCTTCTTCGTAGTAGAAGTCGTAGTGTCACGTTGAATGGATTCTTGCTTTGTATTTGACGAATTGGATTTTTCCAATGTCGTATTTTTATCACGCTTTGTCTCATCAAGTTCCAACGCTTCTCGAGCCGATTGCATTGTAGGATCGAACGAAAGACTCTTAGGGAGATGAAATTTAGGTTCCTTCTTCGTAGTAGAAGTCGTGGTGTCATGTTGAATGGATTCTTGCTTTGTATTTGACAAATCGGATTTTTTCAATGTCATATTTTTATCACGCTTTGTCTCATCAAGTTCCAACGCTTCTCGAGTCGATTGCATTGTAGTATCGAACGAAAGACTCTTACGGAGATGAAATTTAGATTCCTTCTTCATCATAGAGGTTGTGGTTTCAGGTGGAAGCATATCAGATATAGGACTTAATGAATCAAATCTTTTGTTTTTCGCATTTTCATCTCGTTTCGTGTCATCAAGTTCTAACGTTCCTCGGCGTTTTCGTAATTTTGTATCGAACGATCGAATTGTGGGCACATGAAATTCTGCCTTCGTCTTCGCCATAGAACGGATGGTTCCAGTTTGGATGGATTCGGACTTCAAACCCAACGAATCCGATTTTTCTTGTTTAATATTTTCTTCTAGCTTGGTGTCATCCAATTCTAGTGTTCCTCGAATCGGTTGCATGATAGTTTCGAACGATAGCATTCTTGGTAGATGAAATCTGCCTTCCTTCTTTATTGTTGAGGTCGTTGTTTTTTGAACTTGGGAGGTGTTCGAACTTGTCTCCAATGAATCCGAATTTTTAATTTCGATGTTTTTATCTCGCTTGGTTTCATAGATTTTCAATTTTTCTCGGATTGTTTGCATTGGTGCATCGAGGAATTGGTTTGTTGGGAAACGAAATCTAGATTTCTTGTTAGTGGTAGAGGTTGGAGTTCCAGGTTGTGAAGATGGCGACTTAGCAAGCGAGGAATTCGATGTTTTGCGTTTGACATGTTCATCTCGTTTGGTTTCATTGGATTCTGGTGTTTGCCAAGGTTTTTGATTTATACAGTCCGGCGATGAAGGTGTAGAGAGATCAAATCTTACTTTCCTCTTCGTCCGAGTAGTGGTGGTTTTAGATTGGGTAGATTGGGACTTTTCACATAAGAGATCGGTTTTTTCGAGTTTTACGCTGTCAACTAGTTGCACTTCATCCAGTCCTAATGTTCCTCGAATCTTTTGATTTGTAGGGTCGGGCAACAAAGATGTCGGTAGATTAAATCTTACTTCTTTCTTCGTCGGAGAAGTAGAGGTTCCAGATTGGATAGTTTGGGACTTTTCACATAAGAGATCAGATTTTTCGGGTTTCATGCTATCAACTAACTTCACTTCATCGAGTCCTAGTGTTTCTCGAATCTTTTGTATTGTTGCATCGACCGATAGCAATGTTTGAAGACGGAATCCTGGTTCCTTATCCGTGGGAGAAGTGAGGGTTTCTAGTTGAGTAGTTTCAGGCTTTGCATCTGATGAATTTGTTTTTTCGTGTTTCGCATCTTCGTTTTGCTTCCCTTCATCGAGTCCAAGTGCAGCTCGGATTGCTTGCATTTCAGTGTCGAATGAAAGGATTGTTGAAAATTGAAATCGTCCTTCCCTCTTGGTTTTAGGACTCCCTGTTATGGTGCAGTGCTTGAGTTCTGTGCATCCGGCGATAGCGGTGACTCGCACTTTGTGAGCTGTTGTTAGTTTGGTCTTTAGTTGCTTTTATGCCTCAATGAACGTTGGTGTTGTCGTGCAATTCACAATCGTCTATGCAATTTTAATCTGAATTTAAAAGAAAAAAGACAGTGACTCCCAAAGTGAAACGAGTGCATTCACGCGGATATCTTGAACACAATGTCATTTACTGTCGCCATGTATCATTTTATTTTCAGATAGAGTACGTGGGACTTTGGAGCTTCGCAGTTTTATTATCATGCTTACTCGAGATATCTGTTCTTTTATAGACCTG